TTTCAGAGAACGAACACAAAAACTGCAATGTAAGAGTATACTAATATGAAAAACCTAAGTATTTGGTTTTTAGTCATCTAAACGCGGGCGGAGCCGCGGGCAGTGCTAGGGACTTATAAGTTATAACATAGATAAATGATGTAACTAGAAGTCAAGAACTGGATACAATCCTAATCCTAGTGTTGAGGTAACCCTGTCAAACATTAAACGGCTCTCCTAAAAAATTACCACTGAGACACTTATCGTGTTTCACGTTTGAGGACATTTGTTATAATGTAATGAATATTATAATTTATATCGAGTGTTTTAATGTCAACAAAAGAAGAACATTTTAAATTATGAAGAAACTAGATTATATTTTTATATTTTCAATAAATATCCGCACAATAAACACCAATTTCAAAGTTCACATTTATCTGTTTTTAATCTTAATTTATTATTCACGTATCCTTGTTTTTGAGGCCGTCGAACCTTTATATCTTCATAAAATACCTTTAACGATGTTTTCATCGCCGAGTTCAATACTACTCGAGATAGCAGGATTGGTAGAATAAGTCACGGCTAGTCACTTTGGGTCAACTGTCTAGATGTCGAGATTCTCTAATGTGTTGACCGCAGTTTGTTTTCATTTGCTTGGTACAGAGAAATAAAACGCTTATCACTTGTGATAAGTAGCGGACGTCAATATTTGTTTATTCTGTCTTTTTTTACCGGATAAAATTTAAGTTGTTTTAATATGACGAGGAAATTGATTACGACAATGAGCGGTCTTGGGACATGTTCAAATTTAATTAATTTACATTTACATAATAATTGTATGTATATGTTATATATTTAATTATTCTTCTATTAAGATATCTTGCGAGTAAAATACTGTTTTTCGTTCTCGTAATTTATTATTATATATGTTTAAACATATAACTACGAAAACAAAGTAATTGAAATATGTCGTAAATATTATAATAAATACATAATAAATATTTTGGGACATTAACACACAGCACTATCTAGTTCCATGATAAGATACGAACGAGGCTTGTGTTATGGATACCATATAGTTGATACACTACACATATATAACTTTAAAATTTAAATACATATTATAAATATAAACACCCATGACTGGAGTACAAACATTCGTGCTCATCACACAAAAGAATGTCCTCAGCGGGTCTAGAACCCACGGCCGCTGGCACAGCAAGTAGGGTCACACAGTAGAAACTGAGCCAAACATATACATACATATATAGCACACTGTTTCAACTGTTCAAACATCGTATCTAAAACAATAACTAGATATTATCACCACGTTGTTTGAACATATGGTTCTTAAATACCGCGCAGCCACAATAGCCTTGTGCAAATTTTCTATTACTGGACTGGGAACAATGTTAAATATTTCACTATGTTACTGTATTTTAACGGTACTGCCATTGTCATAGTTTTAGACAATATTTATTAATATTTATTATTTAATATCAAAAAGTCAGAATCAGGCTTTAACCATATAGGCGCCTAATCGGCCACTAGTCTGTGCATCTCTTAATAATTATATATTGTTTCCCCATACAAACTTTCATTCCCATTTTCACCCCCTTAAAGGAGGATTTCCGGGATAAAAAGTCGGGAGTCCTTACCAGTGTCTCAAACTATCAATTTACCAAATTTCATCTAAATCGGTTCATTATCCCCTACAACGTCACAAAATCACAAACTTTACCTCTTTATAATATTAGTATAGATATAGATTGACAATGGAACCTAAAAATCAAAATAAATCCGCGAAATAGTCCGAAAAGATAGATTAATTTAAAATGTCAAATATTTGCGTAAATCTAAGAAAGTATTAATGAGAACATACATTCCTCCACTTTCCTCTTCACAAAAAAAAACAACAACAGTTTAATTGCACAATAAAATTGTAAACAAAAGAATTTGCGTATTAATTGTGTCATTAGTATCACGCCAGTGCCTCGTTGTGTTATTTTTATATTCGATTGTAAAGCATCGCCGCTTATTATGGCGATGATGTCACCCAAGCATAAAGTTTACGGGCGCCTCTACGTTTGTCGAGTACTCGTACAGTTGTTTGTTTATACCACCAGTAGTGAAACCTGTTTGTTGTTCAAACCTCATGATTTGAATCTCTAATCGGTTTTTTTTTAGGTTATGAATATTGAAAACGTCAAGTTTGTTATTCTAACGCATTGTTCCTATCCGGATATTTATTTACGTTGTAGGTTTACAGTTATTTATCTTCTTGATAAGATATTGATTTCAACGATAATCTTTTATTGTTTATATGATACTTTATCAATTTATTTTTATAATGCACTAGCAATTGCCCGCGGCTTCGCCCGCGTTCAGATGACCAAAAAACAAATTCTTAGGTTTTACTTATGTGTATACTCTTCCATTGCACTTTTTCTGTTTTTTCTCAGAAATGACATATTTTTCCGCGGTAAAAAGTATACTATATGTTGACCCGGATAACCAGATATCACCATACCAAATTTCATCAAAATCACTCCTGTGGTTTTTCTGTGATGCGGTAACAGACAAACAGACAGAAAAAATTCTAAAAACTATACATTTGGCTTCTGTATCGATAATAATGTCTATTTCAATAGGATTTTCCAAAAAATATTTAACGTAAATATAACATTTCTAGTTGAATGTATTAGCGTTCACATGATATTACATCATACTGCATTAAGTTTTTCGTGATTTCGCAAAACAATTTTGCAAAATCCCTCGAGCGCCCATTGTTCCTGTCGGTACGATCACCGTTTAATGCAACCGGACAGGTTTTTATCTTATGCCCTTGGGTTCATTATATCATCGCATTCTGTATTTTTGTACGTGACTGCGAAAAAGTTCACTGCACTCGCGATGGGGACATTGCACTGATTCCGATACTCTACACCTAACTGTAGGTATTCTCTTTCAATATCAATAAAGCCTCGATCATCTTATCATGGCCTCTTAACACATTTCTCGTGTTTTATATCCTTATCTAATTTACCTAGTAACATGTTGGCATATGATAATTAGTTATTTAAATTATAATGTGTGCTGAGCTATATAACTGAGTCTCCTAATCGCAAACTTCCTCCTCACGAAGCAAATAAGCTAGCTCGTAGTGTTCAATTCATTGTTGCTAATGTCACAATTCGTTTCAATGGACCTATTGGCGCCCGTCAATCTGCAAACTCTGACGCAGTTAAACCAAATCAAACCAGCCAAATTCAGCTGACCACTTCCATTCCTCTAATTGAAGGTTAAAGCAGCCCACGTTAATGCAAGATCTCATCACTTCGTTTATTTTTAATCAGCGCTATTAATAGCCATTGAAGATTTAGCTCGGACCACTTTTAGTGACATATTCATTCGCACCTAAGTGTACCTTGACTCACAGGTCGGAAAATCTAGATTCTCGTGGGTGGAGGCAAATAACTCCACACGAATGAGAAGACATATTTTTCGTATTACTTTCATTGTTACTAATGCCACCAAAGAGAACAAATTAACTTGGATATTTATTATAAATCTGGTCTTACAAATGATGTCCGCATTCTTACTCTACAGTGCAATTCGAAACGAATGGCAGCTTATTAAGTTTATATGTACTAGTAATACTTATGCAGCAGATATTACATCGTCTTGTACATTGCTCTAATTGATGGATTCATCTTTGTATTGTTTTTTATTGATTTTTCTACAGTTTCTATTGTGTCTTTATATAATACGAAAATAGATCTGATCGAGTTTTATTGTTGCGAGCGTTCATTTGCTCTTGGCAATTTATATTAATGTTGTGCAGTAAGTTCTCGAATATGATTATACAACTGTCAGTTTTCCTTATAAAACACTTTACTATTTACATGTACATATTTCTCTTAATAATCTGCATCTCATAACGCCAAATTTGGTATATCTACTACATAAATAATATATTCACATAATATATTATATTATTTACATTGTGACTTTGACTAAGTCATTAGAGCATTGGATATTACTAGCTTAGAATTTGCTTACAATATATAAGTCATGTGTAGCTCATTAAAGTTTAATAAAATCTAGCAAATATTATTACTTGTATCACGGTAATGAGGTTTGATCGAGGTAGGTACTTTTGTTTTTTTTTATTTACTTTATAAATACATTGATATAGATCTGTTTTAAAAAATAACGTAAAATCAAATCAATTAAGCAAATTGTTTTTCGTATAATAAATCATACTATTTGTATGTCGTAATGTAAAAGCAAACGATTACATAAATTTTATGCCTTGTTTGTTGCAAACAACTCTACTTAGTCTGAAAATAAGGGCTCAGTTGATATCAGTGCAGCTAGTGTAGAGTACAAGGACTCACACGCGGCTCGCGTGGCGATGACGTGTTCGCCGCCATTTTAAATAGGGCATGCGCGCGCGCAGACCATCAGTCGCCCGGTAGGACGCCACGCGATCACGCCACTCGCACAGCGCACTGTCACCAGTGACTTAGTCTCAATCTACTCGCCGTCGGTGCATAACGCGCATTTTGTATCCCGTAACGTAACGCTGAAACATGATTGACGTTATTAAACCTCGCGATGGTTGCCTCTACGAAATCAGACAAAAGGGACAAGATCCCTGTTACGTGGTCGTGCCTAATCCAAAAGTATGTTGGTTTTTTTTGTTCTTTTGTTAAATGAGGTCGTCGTTGAAAATCAACGTGTCAATATTTAGTAATCGATATTCGATATATTATGTGCGCCGGGCTTCGAAATAATTTTTCATTTCGTTTGTGAACGTGCACATTTTATCACTTTATTATTAAGTTTTGTCGTAATTTTTTATCGTGTGTTAAATAAGTAAATAAATATTGTAGATAAAATTAGCTGAAGTCATTAAATAAAGTTAAATGCCTGAATTTTTGATCGGTATATTATGTATTAAATGTGTTAAGTATTTAATTTCGAAATATCCTCACAATATGTTTCAATTGTTTCAGGATCTGGTTAAGAGCCACTTGATGTTCGCGGTTCGCGAAGAGGTGGAAGTTCTAAAGGAACGCATCGCAGAACTGATGGAGAGGATTAACCAGCTGGAAGTCGAGAACAGTTACTTGAGGGCGCACGCCAGCCAGGACACGCTGGCGCAGCTGCCGGCCGCGGGGACCAAGCCTCCGCCGCAACCGCAGGGCCCCCAGCCGCCCGTGTCGTAGGCCTCCGCCCCGGGCCCCACACACCGCCTGCCGGCCACCGGCTCGGCATATCCGGCCTTCGCCCTCGGCGCGCACTCCATGCGGGACTCAGGGAGATATTATGGCTGTGCTAGTTTGTTTCGTATGTTTACGATAGACGCGCTCGAGCGCCCAGGGACGCAGAGGCGAAACGCTGACACCGCCGCGCCCAGTGTTGGCCGTGTCCGCAGTGTCCAGTGTCCGTAGTGTCTGCAGTGTCACAGTGTCGGCTAGACCGGACGCCCGGAAGACGTCGCGCTTCCGTAATATGCTTGGATCTATAGATATATTTTTTCGTTATTTAATATTTAGGGTGCAGAAATTCGTGCTAACTGCCATGCTTTTTGCTACGCGTCTCGGCAACGAGCCCGTCTAGTGTAACGATGTATGACTATATTTTGTTCAGTTAAACATCATCTAAGCATCGCTATCCGTAACGTATTCCATATAAGTAACTAAATAAGTCGCTTGTAATTATAATAAAATAAATACTTGAATATTTCTACGCATTGTACGATGACTATTTATTTTCTTTAATTTTGTAGGTGTCGTAATTTAAGTTATTTATCGACTTTTAACATAATTACACTTGAAATGACATCGTTGTATTTTTGTGAATTCATTCTGCAACTAATGATGTAAGTATGTGGCCGCGACGCGACTCGCGAGTGCGAGTGCCGCGGGACTTACCTGAATGAGATTTGATGAAATTTCTCAGCTTTATGCAATAGACATTTAGAGGCTTTGGTTGGTTTGTTGACATAAAATAGAGATTTTTAAGACCCCCATATCCTTCACCATCATCAAAAGTGACAAATTGTCGACAGTCAAAGTGTTTTGCCATAGAAAGCAACACTTCTCATATTACTCGTGGAGTATAAGTTAACGAACCATATCTTTCACTAGTAATAAAATGAAATTGTAATCTAGTGTAATAGGTTTATATAATTCAAATTACGTTTAATGATAAATAAAAAGGTACTATGAGATAAAATCTCGCCATCGAACGCATACAGAACCCCAAAGTCTGTTGAGACTTGAGACATTGTCTCGGGAGGCAACTCAGTATGATTAATTCAGTATTTTTTTTTTCATATAAATTGCACGTTCCTTGCCATCCCCAAGAGTAATGATCTGTCTAGTGTCTTTGAATGTGTGGGATTTCCTTTAGTTGTACTTTTATTGATACAGTTAATATAAAGTTTGAATGTATTCATTAATCGATGTTAGTTAAAAAGTCGTATAGATTTAGTCGTTGCGGGGGTGTAGCCTCGTTACCGCTGGCTTTAGTGAATTTTGCACGCTGAAACTATAAAAAAAAAACAACTATTTTTATTCCAACCATATAATTATTATACTTATATGAATAATAGAGGTTTTAGCAATTTAACATTGTATTTTTTTAATGATTAAAATTGTTTGTATATAGTACAAGTTGTAATAGAATCGTGAGTCGGAATGTAAATAAGAGTGTTCGAAGGTAGTCCTAAAAGTGTGTAGAGACGCTTTCCGAAGATGTAATGGATAAGTTAAATATTGCTGTATTTAAACTCGCTTTACAGTTTATCGATCATTCGAACAAAGTGGCTGGGGGAGTTTGTGTGTCGTACATAATGAAGAACGTAGGTTCGAGTCAAGTAAAGCCCAGCGACTGATTTAGAGTAGTATTTTGTACAAGGCTACGTATGTGTATAGATGTTCTATGAGGTCTTCTTAATTATTGTGAATATGCAGTAATTTACTCCATTATTAGATATGAACTATTATGATAAATGATTCTGTAATTGTAAATATATTATAAAAGAATGTCCGATGTAGCTTATGTTGACCAGATGGTTCCTCGTACCCAATAAAGCAAAATTACTCGAACTTTATTCTTTCATTTATCCTTCTACCTTTCATATGTTGAACGAGAAAAACATCAATAAACCGTGTTTTTTATTTGTTACTTCCAGGATATAACTTATCAGTAATTAAATTAAAACAACATAATTAAAACAAAAATATAATAAAGTTTTGACATTGTTTTGATTAAAATATTTTACTACTTGAGATGGTTTTAAAAACGTATAATATATAATTAATTGTATATAAACCAGTAAACAATGTTTTACAGCTTTTTAATATAAATATAAGATCTTTTCTTGAATAGGTAATTAAAAAATATAAAAAAGAAACTTTTCATTGCTTTATGTCATAGAAACTGTCATAAAAATAAAGTACTTATTGGTTAGTTATCTATTCAGAGAAAGTACCTATAATAAATGTACATTGTAGAGATCAAGTCGTCAACAAAAGAAGTAGCAGTTGTAACTAAGCAGTTTTTTTTTTCTATAAAAATTCTTATTGTTTTTTATGTCTTAAATAAATAATTTATCTAAAAATTCTATTCAAATGTGAGATATGAATAGAATATGAGTTGCTTTAAAACTAGGTGTCATTTATTTACAATCTAGCATGTTTTTCTGCGAACAAGTAGGTAATGGCCTAAAACATTATGCTAAGTATCTTGACCTGTATCTTTGTCAATAATTTACTGTAAATATTGTTTTAATTAACTACAACTGTACTAATATTAAAGTACTTAATATTTCAAGAGATATATTTCATCAGATAAATTAAAGTTTAGCTTAATTAGACTTAGTATATATTCTTTATTTTTTGTTAACATTTTGACTTGAATAAGTGAATAGTGAATATTGTATATAATTAATCTCTAAATATGAAATAAATACAATGAATATTTTAGGAAAACCGATCACAGCGCCATCTAAAAGATTTTTTTATAATTAAATAGTTACCTTTATACACACAAGATGGCATAATATGTCATTTATAAAATGGTTTATTAATCATTCCATAGGTGGCGCTGATTCTGAAACTTATGAGACATTTTTATATTTAGAAACTATCAATAGATGGCGCTACACTGAAAAATAAAGAATATTTATCGTATGAAAAATCTAAAACACAAGTCTTAACTAAATATAATGACCAATACTGACCAATTGTAATTCGACAAATAATATTGAAGAGATTTCATCTATTGGTGGAATACAAATCTATAATGACAGTATCAAGATGCTATCTAGTACTGTCATTCTGAATTTTACCAATTCACAAAATAGATTGTTACATATTTAGAAAATGAAAGAACGTTTTCCTAAAAAAGTTTTTTATCTCCTGTACGAGTTAAAAACTTTCAAGTTCTTGATTACATTTATGTTATATTTCTTTACAACTTAAGGCAATAAAAATGAATATCAAAATATTATGTCTAATATTAATAAAGTAAAGGAATTTAATGGGTTCCTAAATCAAGATTCCGTTATTTTATAGTTTTTATTTAGATAATCAATTATAGTCATATTAGACTTATTAAGGGATTTTTTCGTGACTACATAATTTATAATACGATTAATGAGCTTAGAAGAAACTAAAAATTACCATAGTGTTATCTACTCACCACTAGATGGCAGTAAGTACTAGATATAATAAAAATAATTTCAAAAATAAATTAGTATAATAAAAACATATTGTTAATTAAAATAAATTAATATATTGTTAATTTATTTAATTCTACACTTTTCCTCAATATAACAATGCACGACATGCGCCAATAATGGTAGCATTTAAAGATTTTGTTATAAGGCTAGCAACATTGCTATAATAGCTGTCAACGAATGTAGTAATATTTGACAATGACATTTGACGTCACCTTCCCGTGTTGTGTTGTTTATTAGGAACTTGTTATAGCTATGAATATAAATTTAAAATAATCATGGATAATATGACTCTAAAAGAGATTCAAAATAAGCTATTACTATGGGAAGCCGCCGAAAATCCTTTGGCTCCGCTAACTTCCAGCCAACGTGAAGCTATCTTAGATTTAGAAACTGTTGTGCTTGGAGTATCTACAGATGTTGAAGATGTAAATTCCTTCTTTTATTAATCTTTATATAATGTATTGCAAGTTAACAATCGAGTAACATAAATAAAGAGTGCGCAAAGTTACTTTAATGTATAGTTTTAGTATGATTTTTTTTGATATAATTTAGAAATTAACTTTTTCTAGGAAAATCAAATACAATCAGGCTCAGACGACATACCTCCCATTGAAACTACATTCGAATTTTTAGATTGGTATGAAAGATTAAATGAGCAAAATATTAAGAAACTTGATGAGCCATATGAAGCATATTATAAACAACTAGAAGACAGAAGAAATGAATGTGTTTCTTTAAATGACCAGGTAATCATTGTAAATTAATATGTTAAATTATACATATCAATAAAGGCATATGGTCTATTTTATTGCTGCTTAATATATTAATATATAAAATTCCTGTGTCATGAAGTTGGTCCGTGATGAATTCTGAAACTACTTATCCAATCTTAATGTATTTTTTTTCAAAACATGTGATTTGTTCAAACTTAAAAGATAGAATAATTTTTATCCCGATTATTTCCCTTTTTTATTGCAAAATTAATGATTTCCATATTTATGCCACAGCATCGCGTGGCCGGGTCTGCTATTACTATATAAATCTTCACTAACATGTATAATTAAAAGTGTTGTGTTTAATATGTTACAGATAACAGCAACAATGTCAGATTTAAACAAACTTACAGACGAATATAACCTCGTGTCTAATAAAACAAATGCATTGCATACCATGAGTGAACAATTGTTGGCTGATCAGAATAAGCTTTCTGCAATAGGTATTATATGTAACTTTTTAAATATAAGTTTAATTATGGTCACAGTATAATTAAATGTTTTGTAAATTTTAGAAATATTTATTATTTCTACATATTCTAATATCTTCTCAGATAACAATATCTTCTTAATAATAAAATGTCCTTGCTTAATAACTAAAGTTGTGTGTAAAATGTATGTGTATATTAATTTTCAGGTGACGACATAAAAAGTAAATTGCACTATTTCAATCAAGTAGAACATTTGGCTCAGAGATTGAACAGCACAACTATGTCGGTAAATAGTGAGGCTTTCTTTAATCTTCTTGCCAAAATAGATGAATGCTTGGAGTATGTGCGGGCAAATGTAAGTAACTTCTTGAAAAATATTGTTCCTTTTAATTATAAATTTTCATTTGAGTATATTCTTTTCTGAAAATTTCTTATTGTTTACACATTTTTTTACATTGGGAAATGCATTTAGGCATACTACCTGCATACCTACAGGTGGTTATGTGGGACTCACCGGCAAAACCAGTACTACTCACTAAAAACCAACAGAACTTCTTAATGTCAGTTAAGTTGTGACGGTAGGTCACAACCTTTGGGTTGCTCCAACAGTCCATTCTGGTATCAGAGAAGTACCAGGAGCAACCCGCTTGGCACACCAACCACCGAGGTGGGCCACCTTCCTGTGCGTTTCTTGGCTTCTCAACCACCTGGATTGCTGGACGTTAATGAGCTCTGCCATCATGACATGAACGCACATTGAGGAAGATTTTATAGCACACCTATGTTCATAAAATTGTTGTCATAAAATAGAAATTAACATACTATTTACCGTTCATTTCAGAGTATGTTCAAAGAGTCTCACACATATTTAGTCAAGTACCGCCACTTGCAAAACAGAGCCATATCTCTTATACGAACATATGTAACTCATATATTGAACCATGCTACTGAGCAAGTGCTAACTCCAGATGAACCAAACGACAGTGAAACTATAGACACGGCATATGCTGTGTACTTTGGAAAGTTTCAAGCAGCGGCACCTAAGCTTAAGATGGTTATAACTGAGATTGAAAAAAGAGCAGAGACTAATGAGGAGTGAGTATTTTTTTTTATATAATCTACTTAATAATCAGAAGTAAAGCTTAAAAGAAATTATTTTTATTAGTGATGAGTGAATAATGGCAACCAAATTAAATAATGCTGATATGAAGATTGCCTGAAATTTTCATCAAAATCGCTTCAGCTGTTTTGGAGTCCATAGGAAACATATATGCACATAGATTTCTATGTACATAGGTTAGTATTGTCTATTAAGTGTTTAAAATTGTAAGGTACTTTGATGTCATTTATCTGCTCTTCCATCTACGCATACATATAATAAAATTGTAACTAAGCCGAATCTGTGCATAAGATATTTTTTGGAAAATCTCATTGAAATAAACATTATTATTGATACTGAGACCGAATCTATAGTTTTTAGATTTTTTGTCTGTCTGTCTGTTACCGCATCACAGAAAAACCACTGAAGGGGTTTTGATGAAATTTGGTATGGTGATAGCTGGTTATCCGGGTTAACGTATAGGATACTTTTTACCGCGGGAAAAAGCTATTATTTCTGTGCAAAATACAAAAACTTCAATGTAAGAGTATATTAATATTATGTAAAACCTAAGAATTTTGTATACATATAATGTTGTAGTTATTTTATTACTGTCTGTAATAACTAATTAATAACTTTCTCCCACATGAGCACGATCTCTGTAAAACATTTGAAACATCGGGAATTAAAAAAATAAAACAAAAAGATGTTTATATAAAACTAGCATTGCCCGCGGATCCACCCGCGTTTAGATGACCAAAAACCAAATTCTTAGGTTTTACATATTAGTATACTCTTACATTGCATTATTTGTATTTTTTCTCAAAAAATGAGATATTTTCCCGCGGTAAAAGTATCCCATATGTTGACCCGGATAATCAGCTATCATCATACCAAATTTCATCAAAATCCCTCCAGAGGTTTTTCCGTGATTACTTATTATTTCCGTGATAGTGGTAACAGACAGACAGACAAAAATTCTAAAAACTGTAGATTCAGCCTCTGTATCGATAATAATGTTTATTTCAATAAGATTTTCCAAAAAATATTTGATGTACAGATTCGGCTTGGTTACAATTTTATTATAATTGTATAGATTATTCCTTAAATGATAAAATAAAGTATTCAATTCAATTTTCTTGTTAATGGCTTTAAAGCGTGCCAGTTGAGCACAGATTACTTCTCTAATGTCACATAGAATGAACAAGATACGTTATATATAATACAGGATTCAGGATCTACAACAGACGACACAATATATACAAAAAATATAGGAGAAAAAATAATAAGAATTGGTTAAAACGTATTAAATGAATCTCGTCGACAGCTACGCGTCCCTGCTGTCGGACACGCAGCGCGAGTACGCGGCGCGGCGCGCGCGCGTGGCGGGCGGCGCGGCGGCGCGCGCGCTCACCGCGGCGGCGCGGCGCCACGCGCGCGACCACTGCGCGCTGCTGCGCGCCGCGTGCTCGCTGCTGGCGCTCGCCGTGCGCGACGAGTGCGCGCTCTATGCACACTTCTTTCAACACCACTCGCAGGCTTTGGAGTGAGTGGCCGGTTTTTTTTTTACTCTCCTATCCTAAATACATATTTAAAACATAAATTGAATTTCATAAAGAGTACCGATAACATACAAAAGTTTCACTTCTTGCTCGTGTACAGATTCATACACGCACTCTTTAATTATTATTTTTTTTTGGACCCTGGTCATAAGGGCTACTTGTTGAAGGTGTCGATGGCAAGGTTAGAAGGAGTTTCTTGTTGTTTTGTCGGTTAGGTGGTAGAGCTGACTGCTGCGCCTCTGATCAGACGGTTTGCTTATTGTGAGGTACGAGGGCGCATAACGAGAGAAAAACTTGTAGGCTTTGAAATTATAAAACTTATTACTATGCCAATATTACTCATGACAGTACCACTGGTCACTACTGCAAACACATAGGGAACAGCTAACACAAGTAGCCTTTCTATATAATTTTATATACCGCAGTATAGAATTTAAAATTTAATGTTTATATTTGTAGGTTATATATTGTAATTTTCATTCGTTCATTCATTCACAAAACATTCTACTTATGCCATTGCAGAGACTACCTGCAGTCCCTCTGCAACGGGCTGTACGAGACGCTGCGGCCTCACATCATACACATCAACCACCTGGAGACGCTCGCGGAGCTGTGCGTCATACTGCGCGTCGAGGTCATAGAGGAACAGGTCAATGAGGATCGTGAGTTGATATGTTTTTTTAATCAAAGAGTTATATTTTACTAGCTTAACTCACCGTTGCTTCGCTCGGGTTCAAATAGAAACAAATATATCCCACGGGAACCGTACAGCGAGAAAAAGTATTCTATGTGTTATTAGAAACTATAATCTATCTCTATACCAAATACCATCCAGATCCGTTCATCCGTTCTGGCGTGATTGAGTAACAAACATCCATCTAAACTTTCGCATTTATAATATTAATGGGACTAGCGACTAACCCCCGCTTTGCTTGTCCTTTCGCTTGTCCCTAGAATGGTTTACAAACGCATAAAAGATAAACTTCCAAAAATTTTTTTTCTTTTTTTGAATCAGAGAATTCTTTCACTAATAAGAAGCTACATTACCGCCGAGTGTTAAAGGCTGTTTATTATTTGTATAAAAATATGTTTGCTGTTATTAATTATAATAAATGAAATTGTCGGAAAAAATTGGCTGTCAAATTGCTATATGGACGTGGGCTGCCATGGAATTTATGGCAAAGACACCCAGAGACGCACCCGAGGGTAAGTTGTTAGTGGGTTAAAAAACGCAAATTATTTCGTGCCTCAAAGAGCACGTAAGTATGAGAATGAGAGGAATAGGGAGTGCACTTGACGTGTCTATAATATCTCCTGCGTAGATGGCTAGTCTCAGTGAGATTGGTCGCCGTAGCCGAAATCGGCCAGTTTTATAGGACAACATAAAACGCAAAAATATATTTACAAATATATTATGAATATAAACGCCCATGACTGGAGTAAAAACATTTGTGCTCATCACGCAGCGGCGCTGAGCGCGCTGGGCGCGGCGGCGCGCGCGCTGCTGCAGGACGCGCAGGAGCGGCTCGTGTTCCGCGCGCACGTGCACCTGCGCGCCGACGTGCTGCACTACCGCGCCGCGCCCGGCGACCTCGCCTACCCCGACAAGCTGCTCATGATGGAGGTATACCGCGCACCGCGCTACACTACCGCAATACCGCATAGGCGCGGATATATAATTAAATTTTAGGGGGGTCAGAGACTGAAGTATCTCGAAAACTGTACATCAAACGTATTATAAATAATAATAAGAAAATTATAATGGTTTTATATTTTTGACTTAGCTTGAAAAAATTATCCACACATTCTAATCTCTTCAAAATACAAAGTCAAATTCTTTGAAGAATTTTATTTTAGATACAATTAATTGCCAAGAACTCTGGATTTCATTCACACCACTCTAAAACCTTAAGTAGTATCTCACGTGACCATGATGCTGTAAAGCACACTGCCGTAATAACATAAAATATGCGAACGCCCAATTAGTTGTCAAAAATATCATCGCAAAATAACCTTGCGGTACACTCGAAACATGGTACCCTGATTCTCTATTCCGCTCTGATTATTTAATATAATTTTTAGGGTTATACTTTAAAACTGTAGTAAAGTCACAAAAGTTCACTCAAATGTTTAAATATAATAAGTAATAACCAATTATCAATGTGAGTATAATTTATTTCACAGCAAATCGCTCTGTCAATACAAGAGCAAAGTTTGAAACGTAGCGATTCACGAAACTCCATGCTATCAGATATATCGGCCACATCGCAAGAGGTCGCTAACATCAATATTGAAGCCCAAAGGAGACCACAGGCCTCACCGGCCGACCTTCATGGAATGTGGTATCCAGGAGTCAGAAGAACTTTAGCTGCTCTATCAAGACTTTACAGGTGTTTAGAAAAACGGGTCTTCCAAGGTCTTGCCCAAGAAGCCATATCTCTATGCGTGCAAAGTGTCGACTCAGCAGCTAAACAAATATCTGCAACCAAAACTAACATCGATGGAGAACTGTTCCAAATCAAACATCTTCTTATATTGAGAGAGCAAATAGCACCTTTCCAAGTGGATTTCATTGTGAAAGAAACAACGTTAGACTTCAGTAATGTTAAGAATGCAGCGTATGGTTTGATACAAAAGCCGAGGCAAATTTTTTCTTTGAATAGTAGTAATTCGTTGTTGGAATTTTTGTTGGAAGGCACCCCGATGGTTAGAGAGCATTTGTTGGACTCGAGGAAGGAAGTGGACAGACAGCTGAAGAGTTGCTGCGAGGTGTTCATTAAATATTCTACCGAGATCCTGGTTGGGCCGTTGATTGAGTTTATTGAAAAGGTTAGTTGCTTCTTGTAATGTATTTTATTACATATTTTATGAATAAACAAAAAATAATTTTATTCATGAAATACGTAAAGCATAAAGCCCTCTGCTTTCATTACACTGTGAGTTATGTTGTTGAAAACCCTAACAATTAATATAAGTCATGTAACTACTCTTTAATTAAAAAAGTAAACATGATGAATATTAATAATTATTCCACTTTTATTTTTTTCTAATCTTGTAGGATCATAAATATTTATTTATTAAAATCGGCTCACAATTGGCAAAAATATCTCGGAACATACGCACAAATATACACTCAAATTGAATATCTCCTTTTATAAAGTCGGTCAAAAAGCTACCGGACACATCTACTCACTACTAATATAAATGCAAAAGTTTGTGTCTATGTTTGTTACTGTTTCACGCTGAAGCAGATGGACGGATTATGTATTGTCATAATGTTAGCTTGTTTTAGTTGTTTGTTTTAGTTTGTTTGTTTGTACCGAATAGACTCCGAAACTACTGAACCGATTTAGATGAAATTTGGTTAGAAGATATTTTGATACCCTGGAAAGGACATAGGATAGTTTTTATCTCGAAAATCATCCCGTAAGGTGGTGAAAATGGGGATGAAAGTTTGTATGAGGAAGCAAGGGTGAGTCGCTAGTATTTTATATATAAAATCTAAAAATTAATAACTATGATATCATTCACACAGACACTGCGCCGACGAGTATAGTGAGGTGTAATTCATTCAAACTTACAGAAATGTGATGTGCGCAAGTCACTTGTTAAAAATTTCAGGATGATCGCAAAATGTTAAAACATATCGATGATTAACTAAAAAAATAATCTAAATGAGTATTTAATTTAAAACAAAATTTATATATAAAGACCTAAACACAACAGAAGTAAAACAGTTTTTTTTTCTTATATTTCTAGGCACAGGCCTTCACTCCAGCGGAACTGCTGAAATCCCAGCTGTGGGCGAGTCCAGGAAAGCTGGCGGTCGCAGTGAAGGAGGCACAGAAACGTATCAAAACTCACCTCGCGCCCTTGCAGCGTTCCATGCAACTGTACCTCGCTAATAAGGAGACAGAGTTCATATTGTTTAGACCAATAAGGGTATGTATTACCTCAAAAAATAGTAATAAATACACATAAAGAGTGGGATTTAAAAAAAATCATCAAAAACCATCAAGCAGTTTAGGCTACAGAACGTGCCAAAGAAATATACATTGTACACTCGAAAAACATAACCTTTCTTCTAGCGCAGTGGGGAAAAAATCGTGGTTGAGTCTATACATCCAGACTATTTTAGCAGTATACTATATATATTTTGACGACACGTTTGACTCTGTTTGTAGTGTATTTGCTGTGCCAGCGGTCGCAGGTTCGAGTCCCGCTGGGGGCATTCATTTTTGTGATGAGCACGAATGTTTGTACTCCAGTCGTGGGTGTTTATATTTATAATATGTATGTATTTAAAGTTATGTGTAGTGTATCAACTATCTGATATCCATAACACAGGCTTCGTAGCTTACCATGGAACTAGACGGTGCTATGTTGATGTCCCAACAGCAACATATTTTACTATTTAATATTAATTTAATATTTTCTTAGATTTACGCGAATATCTGACATTCTAAATAGCGGGAAAATCACGGGACTTTCTCCCGTGACTATGATTGCTGTTTAAAGCATTCGGATCGTCGGGAACCAAAAATCGAAATAAATTCTCGAAAAAATCCGAAAAGAATAATTTTATTTACAATAATTATCATTTATTAAATAGGCTATATAGAAATAAGGAATGGAGAATTTTCCTTTTTTTATTAATTATAAAAAATTAAGCAAAATATAAGACAAAATTATTAAAATATCTCATCAAATGAAAAAGTTATAAAACTTTAAATTTGCGCTTGTAAGAATAAAAAAATTGAATAATTTTGTGACGTCACACGACCTGAACGCTCGACATTTTATTAATTTCTCAGTCATTTATTGATAGGTTTCAATTTTTTTCCCACTGATTTATTATAATATGATATTATCAACATCAGGAAACTTCTCCATTAGTAAAAAACAGACAAAATTAATTTTGTCAAATAGATTTGTTAAAAATCTAATCCATATAGGTAAAACCACTCCAAATAGCTTTTTATGAACGCAGTTATGTAAATTGTAATAATAATAAACTTTTCCTCTCATAATCTAGAATTACTGGTTTTCCTTCATTTAGTTTTATATGTTATAAAGATGTACTTTTCACAACAATAAAATAAACGATTACATAATAATCATATATATTGTACAGAAAATATCCATTTACTCTTGACATCTAGAAACTAGCATTCTAGGACTAGAATGGCTTATTGATTTTATGAATAAATAGGTCACTGCAGTGTAATATTGATCTGCAGATAGGGATAGTTTTTACTTTTTTATCATTATTACAAAACAATTTTATTTATATATTTTCAGAACAATGTGGTGGGATACTTTGTCCAGTTAGAACAAATCTTAACAAATTCTGGCTATACCTATGAAGACACATTGATAGTCGCCTGTCCAACTCCAGAACAGGTGTCAGTATTTATCTCTTCAGCCAGTCTCATTAGCCATTCTGAACCTGTGTTGCCATATGGAAAAAAGAAACCAATTAACGTCGTTAAAAGACCGAGTGTTACCAGTGTACCCGAAAATGTTGATGATAAAAGTAGTAATAATCCAGATAGCACAGGATCTTAAAATAACTTTACTCATTATTTATTGTAATTGTAACATATTTATTCATATTGCATAATTCCATTATATATTGAAATGAAAACAGTATATAGTTTCAATTGTTTATTTACATATTTTAATGCTTATGTTACTATAATAAATACATACACCAAAGACAGTGTTTTATTTCAATAAAACAAAAGACATTTGGGTTAGAGGTTTAATGTTTTTTAATTGATTTTTTATTAACTAATTTACAAATAAACTATGAATTTACACTCTGACCCAGTACATGCCAGCACGGATTCTATTGTAGTCTGGGAGTGCTTCAGTAGGACCTACGGCAGCTACTGCTGGACAACGGTCAAAGAGATACTTGTAGCACACATCACGGACATTTTGTACTGAAACTGAGTCAATGCGAGCATCAAGCTCATGAATAGGGATGCGGCGGTTGTAGCAAAGGATTTGACGTCCAATATCCTCACACACTGGTGTTGTTCCATCTAACTGTAACAGCATGTTGGTTTTCAGAAGGTTCTTTGCCCTTTCTACTTCTCCTTCAGTTACTGATACACACAGTTTCATCCATTCTTTCTGAATGTTGTATACCATATCGTCTATTTGCATGGGCTCTGCTACAAAGTAGATACCCCAGAGACCTGTGTCCTTGTAACAAGTGTTAAATGACTGGAAGCTATGGCAAAGGTTCTCAACAGATGCAGCCCTAGCAAGGTAGGATGCATTGTTCATTCCTCCTCCTTGTGACCTATCCCAAGCTCCAATAAGAGTGTTGGCTACCATGAGAGGTATGTTGTCAGCGTCAGTCCAACCAGCTCCCTCCACAGCAATGGCAATGTGAGCCAGGGGCATGGAGTCATCTCGGACACGAATTTCAGAACCAGTGTACCTGCATGGGGCTATTTCAGGTACATCCAAGTGAGTATTTTTTAAACCACCTAAATGCTTGTTAGCCAAGTCTACAAGCTTACCATGTTCAATGCCACCAGCTCCTGAGAGTACTATACGGCTTGGTTGGTAATGAGTTTTGATATACTGTTGAAGATCAGCTTTAGAGATCTTCTTGATATTTTTAGTAGGTCCAAGAATGGTCTGTCCTAAGGGGGTACCTTGAAATGCTGTGGCATGGAGGTGGTCGAATACAACCTCTTGTAAGTTACTCTCAACATCTTGCATTTCACGCAGAATAACTCCACGTTCTCGTTCGATTTCGGGTTCAGCGAGTGATGAGTTTTGAATGATGTCAGCGAGGATTTCTACAGCGGCAGGTATGTCATTAGCGAGACATTTAGCGTAGAATACAGTTTGCTCTCGTGATGTGTATGCGTTTAAGTGAGCACCCATATTTTCTACGAGTAATTCTAAGTCAGTCTGGGACCTTTTGCTCGTTCCTTTAAAAGCCATGTGTTCTAAGAAATGGGCGACACCATTGTTTTTGGAAGTTTCGTACCTCGAACCAGCATCAATCCAGAGGCCGACTGTAGCAGTAGCGGCACCAGAATCTTCAGATGCAACGCGGATTCCATTATCGAGTACTGTAAGTTGAGTAGGGGGAATGTTGACTAGGGCTTGCTTGTAGCCCACCGCTGTTGCCAGGGCCCGAACATTATGACTTTGCTGTGATATAAGCCTTGCTACCTTCAACATTTTTCTTTTTATCCAGGCACTTTATTAAACTCTGCTCGCTGATTTACGTAATGTGCAATATTCTTGCTAGACGTCAAAAAATATTACAGAACAGATAAAAAAAGAAGATGTAAGATCAGAGATGTCATATTTAACCATAGATTATAAGTCTATGATAGTAATTTTGTTACTGTGATAAACGAAACGTATTTATTATTTTTGTTACTTTTAAAAGTATAATAATAGTTTTATGTCCCTGTTATTTATTTATATTATTACTAGCATTGCCCGCAGCTCCGCCCGCGTTCAGATGACCAAAAACCAATTTCTTAGGTTTTACATATTAGTATACTCTTACAATGTAGTTTTTGTCTCTCAAATGAGATATTTTCCCGTGGTAAAAAGTATCCTATATGTTGACTCGGATAACCAGCTATCATGATACTAAATTTTATCAAAATCTGTCTAGTGGTTTTCTCGTGATGCGGTAACAGACAGACAGACAGACAAAAATTCTAAAAACTATAGATTCGGACTCTGTATCGATAATAATATCTATTTCAATTAGATTTTCCAAAAAATATTTAATGTACAGATTCGACTTAGTTGCAATTTTATTATGTGTATAGATTTATTTATACATATAATAAAATTCTTACTGAATCGAATCTGTACATTAAATATTTTTTGGAAAATTTTAATGAAATAGTCATTATTATCGATACAGATCCGGCCGGATGAGGACGAATCTATAGTTTTAAGAATTTTTGTCTGTCTGTCTGAGATGATACTTTCCCAGACAGCAACAACGTGAAAAATACTGGACAATTTTTTATAAAATTTGGGACGTATGGTGATAGTATGTAGCTGGTTATCTGAGTCAACATATAGGATACTATTTACTGCGGGAAAATATCTCATCTCTAAAAATTCTATACTAAGCGTTAAAAAATAACTACGGATGAACCCGAGCGAAGTCGCTATTACTATATATAGCAATAATAATACTAATACTATTTATGTACTACTTTAATTTTAATATCAAAATCAAATTATTTTTGTTTTAACCTTATTTAATTAAGCCTGCAAAATAGTCGGATCGTATTTTTAAGGTAGAATCCCTTGATTACTACGCACGACAGTATCGGACGCCAAAGTGGTTGTTATTTAAATAAGGTTATTGAAGACTTTATCATATTTTGTAAAGAAAACCACCGACAAAACTATAGTTTGTCATGTATAAAAGCTATAATATATTCATATTAATACGAATGCATGTTCTTTTCCATTGGAATATTTCCATATTATTTTATATTAAAATCATATAAACTTTACGAAATCTGAACTAAACAATAATATATTACTTAAATTATAATATAAATATACCTTGTAGTAAGAAGAACTTAGTGTGCTAATAAATACCTGATGTAATCTAGACGTGAAAGTCAACTTAATATTAACTTTTCTTAGAATATGTTCTCTTTATTATTATCTGGACTCTGGAGTGGTTGGTCCACTGAATGCCCGATGGATCGATGAAATGTATACTTGGAAAGGAGCGGTCAAAATCCAATAGATAGCTGGACTCGTGTGTGGCGACTATAATGATAAATACAATAATATTACGAAACAAATTGTAATAAGTGTCTACTATATTGAAAAATACTTCTTGAATTTATATTCAATTACTATCAAATTGATTTTTAAATAAATAAATCAGATCACTTTATTTATATAATCACTATGAAATAATATTCTTTAGTTTTCCGTAAAATAACCGTTACGTGTAAAGGAACGATTAAAAGAATTACATGAAAGAAATCATGTGGAAATCATTTCTTTCACGCGTATTCCGTTTTGTAGGAATATTACGAAAGCAATGATGTGCAGTGAAGATTATTGTTTAGTAAATTTAGCTAAAGTTACCTTAATGGAAAGTGTGCGGCAGGCATAGTCATAAATTCAGTTCCTACAAAATGTTATAATTGTGATTTATTACGTTCATCATGACTACAATGAAGAATCCTAATTCGTCGTCTTCTAAACTCGCACTTCTTAATCATATCAAATACGAGCACTTGGTAGCTGGAATATCAGGTGGCGTCACATCAACATTAATTTTGCATCCTTTGGATCTCATAAAAATCCGTTTCGCAGGTAAGTTAGGAAATCTAATTTTTTAACCACAAATTTCAATATTCTTTGTTATTATACAGTACTTTTATGGCTTAGAAGGAATTTATTAGATTGTAACTGCTTTAGGAAAGATGCCTTAAAGTTATTAACAATTACTAGCATGGTATTTTCTTATCTTTTCAAGAAATCAATTTCGCGGCTGTTATATGACCTTGAACTTGGTGTAGCATCAGTGAAAGTAGGCTCGTCGAAGAAATTCGAAACAGCTGATGAAATCTCAAACTGAAATTGCTAATTTACTTGCTGTCATCTTCGTAGTGCTTTTTTATTTTGTTATTTTATAAAAATTGTTTCTCTATCTTTTAAAGATCTTTGTTTGTTATTTGTGTATATTATGTACATAGTGTTATTAAATATCTTTACTGCTGTAATATTTAAATATAACAACTCAAAAATTGATACAACATCAATATAACAAATATAATATAAAATGAGAATCAATGATGATGCTTTTGTACCTATGAAATATTTTACTTATTTTTCCTTTGTAAGTCAGTGGCATAGCTTTATACCTAAGAACTGAAAATTTATATTAATTTATAAATTAGTCATATCGGAAATAAATTAAAGTAGATAAATATTTTTTAAAGTCATGAAGAAGAATAAAGATATAACCCCCATAAAATATTTCATTATATAGGGGTAAAAGTAATAATTTATTTTTTGGCTTGTTTACCAGTCTCTACATTATGTACATTTAATATGTTCTTTGTGTTTTTAACAACAGTTATTTGCAGGATGCCATTAATTAATTTTTGCATCTATTGTTTTAAATATTTTAATTAATGATTTCCTTTAAACTTTAAATAAGCTTTTCTAGATTATGATCTCAGTTGGAAAAGCCAGATAAATTCTGTATTGATTTTTTTTAACTAATTTATTTATCACATATAGATACTAAATTTATTATAAACTAGTTACTTATCCTCGCTTTACTTGGGTGCGTCCCTAGGTATGTTTTAAATTTTTCTGCCATTGAAACCAGTGAAAGTCTCATCAAAATTGGCCTTGCCGTTTTGGAGATTAGCCTGAACAAACAGAGAGAAAGACAGAAAAAATAATTAAAAAATATTTTTTTCTTATTAGTAAGTACCATAAATAATTTTGTAGTGAAAAATCTGTTATTTTGACATTACAAACAGACTCTTATAATATTAATAAAGTATGATTTTATAAAATACTGTGTATAGTTAAACCTTCATGTATATTCTTTGTAATGTTAAGAAATATAGTTTTATTTAAATTTAATAATGTGATTTTTTTTTATTTTAATTAAGTAATATTTTTTTTGGCACAGTGAATGATGGGAGATCAGCAACAGTTCCGCGTTATGATGGTCTGGGTAGTGCATTTGTAACAATTGTAAAGAAGGAGGGTTTCCGTGGACTGTACCGTGGTGTCACACCTAATGTCTGGGGCTCAGGATCCGCTTGGGGCTTCTACTTCTTATTGTAAGTATTAAATAAAATATGTCTCCAAAATAACATAGAATTAATGTATTTTTGAAATTCAAAATTTGATTATACAAATAAAATGGATAAAATATTTGTTTTATTTGTTTAAAAATGTCTTATTGTGGAATATTGTATATTGGAAAAAAGAGGTAATCCATTTGTTATATTTTAATCCTTTGATAATAATTTAATACGAGTTATCATTAATGTGCGTAATGGCTTCAAATATGAATAAGATAAAATTTTATAAATTAACATTTTAACGTTTAGCTCAGAGATGAGGTGTTTTCCCGCAGTGAAAACCATCCAATATGTTGACCCGGATAACTAGCTATAATCATACCAAATTTCATCAAAATCTGTCCACTGGTTTTTTCGTGATTCGGTCACAGACAGACAGACAGAGAGAGAGAGAGAGAGAGAGACAACAATTCTAAAAATTATAGATTCAACCTTTGTATCAATAATAATGTTTATGTCAATAAGATTCTCCAAAAAATATTTAATGTACAGATTCAGCTTAGGTAGAATTTTATTATATGTACGGATTATATAAGTAACATCAAGCCACCACATAATTTTTATTGTTGTTATTAGAATCATTGTTTTGAATCATTGTTATATAAGATTTTCATAACAAGTATAATTACTTGTTATAGAAATATTTATTACTTCACTTATAAATGTTCGTGTAAAGTACATAAATAGCGTCATAATAACAATAAGGTAAACTGAAAAGTACATGTGATAAGTATAAGCAAGTAGTATACAGTAAGATAGGTTTTCATTTTAATCCCTCAACGACCGCGGACACGCCGCCGTTACCGTTAACGATAGATTTTTTAGAAATTTACCTGGAAGTGTTAAAGGACATTTTTGTTGTTTATTGACTCATTCAGCTATTTTTAAAAATAAATAAATATGTTGGGACATTAACACACAGCACCATCTAGTTCCATGGTAAGCTATGAGGCTTGTCTTTCGGATACCAGATAGTTGATACACTACACATATATAACTTTAAATATATACATATGTATTATAAATATGCATACCCATGACTGGAGTACAAACATTCGTGCTCATCACGCAAATGAATGCCCTCAGCGGGACTCGAACCCGCGACCACTGGCACAGCAAGTACACTAAAAACTGAGTCAAACGTGTCGTCAGTAAATAATATAAATATAATTTGAAAGGTTCAATTTAATTATTTTTTTTCAAAATTCAAAAATGATTATATCCAATGATTTATCTGTACAATGTTATGGAATCTAGACAAAAATCACATTTCCTTAGCGTTAGAGCCATGTTTTATGTTATTCTTACCATATTCCAGCTACAATGCAATAAAAACATGGATTCAAGGGGGGAACGCTCGCACCCCCCTCGGTCCGGGTCTGCACATGTTAGCCGCTGCCCAGGCCGGCATTCTCTCCCTTGTGATGACCAATCCCATATGGGTCGTGAAGACCAGGCTCTGCCTTCAGTATAGCGAAGAGAATACTATCGCTGAGCACAAACGGTACAGAGGCATGGTTGATGGCCTCACGAAAATCTATCGAACTGAAGGCATCAGGGGGTTATATAGGGTGAGTTTACTTTCTATTACATTTTGACCGAACTTTTCTTGCTGACTGCAGTAGAATCAATGATAAAGATGCATTCAAATGCTTCATTTGAATTATATATATTTTATTCTTTCCTTCATAGTGAAAAAAACGTTGACAGTGTGTTAAAAGTTGTCGAATGAATTAAAAAAAAAACTTCTCCTAAGATTGGATTATTTTGTAGTAAAAAGTAATTAATATACATATTATATTTTTTTCTTTTACTTCAACGAGGTGGGTTTTAAAATGTTGTATCTATTTTGTAGTGTTTAGTTTTTTGTGTGCAGAAGGCATTTATGTTATACTATATTTCAATTATTTAAATTAAAACTTTTTAACAAAAAAATAAAAACCGACTTCAAACAAAAGCACTAAAAATTAAAAAATAACTGATTGGTAGTTTTCATTTACTATACTTACTAAATCTAATATTTTCGAAGTCGGCGTGCTTTGCTTTTTATGGGCTGGCACTGATTTCGAAAATATTTCATTAGGTATGTACGAGTATTTAATAGGTAGGCTTTAATTACTTAGCCAAAGCACACCGACTTCGGAAATATTTGATTAGGTATGTATAGTAAATGAAAACTACCAATCAGTTATTTTTTACTTTTTAGTGCTTTTGTTTGAAGTCGGTTTTTATTTTTTTGTTAAAAAGTTTTTATTTTTCCCTTTTTAGTGTAGACAGTTGTAGCAAAGTAAAAATTCTAGGCTTGTCAAATCAAACAAAATAAACCCAAACTCAAAGTATCTACTATTAGCCGCTAAAGAGTTCTACCTATTCACCTTCTGGCTTTGCTATCAGATCAGGTCAACAATACCGAACCACTGTACTATCAACGGAAATAGAAATACTTGCAAAGTTTCAATTCAATATTACAATTAGAAGTAGGTTAACTTCATCATTAGCTATTTTTTCACCCTTAGGGGTGGTATTTTTTTTTTGAAATTTAAATGGGACCAATCTGGAAGTATACACTTTCAAACAAAACAAAAATTGTCCAAATCGGTTAATAAATGACGAAGTTTTGAGGTAATAAACATAAAAAAAATTACAGCCGAATTGAGAACCTCCTCCTTTTTGAGGAAGTCGGTTGAAAATTTGAAGTCAGTTAGTATCCTGTAGGGTAAACTGCAAAGGTTATCATTTGTTAATGATTCATTGTGTCTATATTAGTGATTTTGCACTTATGTAATAATTGTGTTAATTGATTTATCTGTCAGGAAATATATATTCTGATATAATATACAAGTTTCATATCTTTTTTATGAATTTAAATTGGCGACTCATCTCGCTTCGCTCGGGTTCGTCTCTAGGATGATTCCCCATGCGAACTTTCATTCCCGTTTTCACCCCCTTATGGGATGATTGCCCGAATAAAAAATATCTCATGTCGATCCCAGTGTCTCAAACATTTTCATTTAAATCGGTCCAGTAGTTTATGAGTTTATTCGTTACAAACATACAAAAATACAAATCTTTCCTCTTTATAATATTAGTGCAGATGAAAATTTAAACCAAACATACATATAATATTTTTTAATATAACTCAATAATATACCATTTCAAAATTGCTCGACCGCTCGTCCTTATTTGACGTCATTCAAATTTTAAATTCAAAATATTTTATTCAGCATTAAATTATTACAATTTTTTACTGGACGTCATAAGTCTACTACCAGTTCGGAAAGAAGAATCCTCAGACCTGAGAAGAACTGGCGAAAGAAACTCAGTGGGACTAATATTAGCTCGTTATCTTTTTTTTCATTTCATTGTCACTGCAGCTGCAGATAGCCATAATATAATTTTTGAATAAATTGTCTCTTTCCCTTTCACAAAAGCTTTCGCTAATGTGATAAAATATAAAATAATAATTACCTGATATTTGAAACACATAAAAAATACATATTATACATACATAATATGCAGTATGTACAATGTACATTTATACGAGTATAGCAAATGTTGGGACCACGCGTATTTAGATACGATGACGAATATCACTTGTCGACGCAACGATTATTATAAATTTTGTCAATTACACGTTATGAAACCTTTGTAACTTTTTGTTTTTATCAGATTATAATGTATTTGTTTTGAAAACATTGACATAAATATGCGATTTGCATTGAACTTTGCAATGAGATCGGAATCGCGTAAAAACAATTGAATAAAAACAAACATATGATTATGTATTAATTATTTACTCTGTGTGTCTGTTTGTAATGTCAAAATAACAGCTTTTTACTAAATATATATGAAAGTATATACGGTACTTATAAGAAAACAAATTTTGTCTGTCTTTCTAATCTGTCTGTTTCTTCCGGCTAATCTCCGAAACGGCTGGACCGATTTTGACGAGACTTTCGCTGGCAGTCCATTACTTTTATTTTAGAAATAGAATTAGGGTACCGCGCAAAAAAATTAAACTTATGAAATGGTGAACTTAATGCTTACACACTCGAGCGACGCGAGGGTAACCTAGTACATAATGTACATTTTAGATGAAAAACAGAATTAAGCACTTTATAGCATTTTCTTATATAAATTGCAATATTATTTATAACTATTTAAACTGTAGGTATTTGTATTGCAATTGTTTTTATACTGTTGATTGGATTCTATACACGTGTAACATGGTGTTATTTAAAATGCGGTGACTGTTCAGTATTCTCTATACAGCTACTTCTCTTAATCATATTAATTAGTATGAACATTCAACATACTCATTGAGTTGTAATATTTAAAGCATACCTACTAATGTTAAGAAGAAAAATAGTATGTAAATCTATTTTATTCATCACTATAAAAATGTTTAAAGATCTACTTCAAAAAAAAAAACGTGTGTGTACTTATTTACGCACGTAAGAAGTTATCCTTCTTTGGCGTAACAGATCAAAAATGGCTAAAGACTTTATCCCGTATGTCACAACTCTCTGTTTGTAAAAAGAATGCAGCTAACTTCATCGTGTCGCTTTTTGGCTGTCGGTGTGCGCGCGCATCGTAAAAATTTTACTTATAAATTTTTTACAAACGTGCCAAAAGAAGAATAAATTCAAAAAATATTAAAAAGTAAGAAATAACTGGTAAGTAGTTTTAATTTACTATAAATATCTAATCAGATATTTTCTATGTCGGTGTGCATTAATTTCAAATGGGGCCAACTTGGAATGAGACAAAAAAAGAATTATCGAAATCGAAGCTGTTAATATTATGCGTTTGTCAAATATGTAAAAAAATACGTGTCGAATTGAGAACTTCCTCCTGTTTTTCTGCAGTTAATAAAACTATATCGACAAAAATAAAAATATGTAATATTATAATAAAAATAGATGTTTCAGTTTTGTTTTGAAAAATGCAAATTTCAATGAATTTTATCAGCCAAATAAAAAATCTTTACTTACAGATCGTGTTGTTTTTATAAAATATCGTTTACACAATATTACCTACTATTTTATCGGCATAATAATCTTGCTTACTATTTTTATGTATTATTCAACGAGTTACTGTTTAAAATAAATGTTGGTAATTAAATATTTTCAACACACACTCCTATTACATAACAGAAATATTTATATTATACTAGCGACCCACCCTCGCTCCGCTCGGGTTCGTCCCTACTTACATTTTAACAGATAGATTTTCTCAGAGATGAGATATTTTCCCGCAATAAAAAGTAACTTGAATGTAGACCCGGATAACCAGCAAGCAGGACACCAAATTTCATCAAAATCCATCCAATGCTTTTTCCGTGATGCGGTCACAGACAGACAGACAAAAATTCTATAGATTCAGCCTCTGTATCGATAATAATGGCTATTTTAATTAGATTTCCCATAAAATATTTAATGTACCTATAGATTCGACTCAGCTATAATTTTATTATATGTATAGATATAGTACATATACATATTGTATAGTAAATATACAAATATTTCTAAGTAAAAAATGTTATGCATTAACAAGTTGGCTTCTCGATGTTATTGACGGCCTCTTATAGATGCCTGTTATATAGTCGCTGGCATTTTTATTGGTATTGCCTATTGCACTGATTTCATGGTCGCAACGTTAATTCGTAGATAGCTAGTAGGTATATTTGTCATACAGATGTTTGATCGATCTAGTCACAATATGGTATAAAATATAATTATAGGGATACACTAGTGAGTCACCTTCGTTTCGCTCGGGTTCATCCCTTGGTACGTTTTAACGGTTAGTATAGATTTCTCAGAGATGAGATATTTTCCTGCAGTAAAAAGTATCCTATATGTTGACCAGGATAAGCAGCTATTATCATACCAAATTTCATCAAAATCTATCTAGTGGTTTTCTCGTGATGCATTCATTCCCAGACAGAGATACAGACGGACAAAAATTCTAAAAACTACAGATTCGGTCTCTGTATCGATAATAATTACTATTTCAATAAGATTTTTCAAAAAAAAATTAATGTACCTACACATTCGACTCAGAATTTTATTGGGCATCACATATCTGATATATTACAGTCCTACAGCTTTCCAAGTACTTTGGCTATTGTACTTACCTATACATAGTTTATCGTAAGTGAAAGTGCTTGAAAACGATATTTATTTGCTGAAAATAAACAATACAAAATTGAAAATATTTGAATGTGCAACTATCATTTCATAACGGATGATCAATCATCGATATTACAGGGACAGATAAATATATCAACAATTTTGTGAAATGTAACTTGTTTTGATTATGCCCCTGTTATATAATAAATGAAAGTGAGGTTTTGTAAATTGTGTCTTTATCTAATTTCATGTTATCTTTTTTTTAAGTACCTATTACGTAATAAGTTTATTATTTTTACGTCTAAGTATGTATCAAATCTTGGAAGCCTTTATCTTATTCTTAGAATTTTTGTTGTTTCTCTAACAATTATTTGTATGTCTAGTCCGAATGTAAATATGTACAATGCGAGCCAAATTAAATACGATCGAGAAATCGAGAAATTAAAACCATCTAGCTGATCTATTGCTGGAGCCAGGAGTTGTATAGTGGAACTCTTCAATGGATTCTAGTAAAACATTCCAGTTTGGGCTCATATAATTCATTCGTTTGACAGAGTCCATATAACAGATACAAAAGCGTGTTTTTTAGTTTTTGAAGTGATAACTTCTATACTGGCAGGTTTGGATGGGGTGTAAATTCGTCTAAGTCGTCAACGACATGGTCACGTGACGTGTTAACGCTAACACTCAGAGTGCCGATAGATGTCAAAACCAGATAAATGTAAACAGTTTTAATTTAATAATTTTCATTTAAGATCAAACAATTAATTTGAATATCCAAAAATAACAATAGTGTGCTTATAGTTTTAAGTTTTCACTTCTGTCGGCAGTCTTCAGACTGTTTTTTTTTTAACAGAAGGAGTAGGTACAAAGGTACAGACTTAGGTCACTATTATTTAAAGTTTATATGATATAAAATTATCAGTAATACAATTGTTATAGAACACGTTGAAAGATTTTTTGGCGTAACTCCAATACAGGATTTCCTATGAGACATTGGTGTAATTATACGTATGTATGTGGGAACAAAGTGCCCACTTTGTATTTTTCCACGCTTTATTTCTCTAATATGTAATCTGTTAATAATAGGTATCTAAAATTTCTGTAATTTTTTATTGAATTTATTGATTTTTAATATACTCACCCTTGCTTCGCTCGGGTGCGTTCCTAAGTACGTTTTAATTTATTTTAGCGAAACCCTAATTCTTTTTTTAAAATAAAAGTAGCCTAAATTACTCCTTATAACATTAGCTATCTGCCAGTAAAAGTACCGTCAAAATCAGTTCAGCCGTTTCAGAGATTAGTCGGAACTAACGACAGACAAAAAAAAAATTAAAATTGTGTTTTTTTTTCTAATTACCTTAAATTTCATGTGCATTTAGTACAAATCTGCTATTTTGATATTATAAACAAACACTTCAATTTTATTTATCTCTATAGATGTATAGATGGGCATACGGCTTCGCACGTGTTTTTATTTTATTTTAATTAACTAAAAGAACGAATTATCCAATAGCGTAGGAACTTAGGTTTCTAAATCTTATTACATTAGTTTACTTTAAAAACTAACAGTTTTCGTTTATTTAATTTAAGTAGGTATTAAGTCTTACATTTGCAAAGACTTATTACTCAATGGTATGAATCTTAAAGAATCTTCTATGCGTCATATTTTTACGCACCTCCAAAGAAGTGCGCCGCAAAAATTGTAATTATATAACCTATTTGCGATCTATTTGAAGAAATTTAGAAGACCAAAATATAGAGAGGAGATATGACGTACTTTGATAAGTAATTGTATACGTTTTCAAGTACAAAAATAAAGAAATCAGGAAAATATTTATCAGCGATAAAAAAAATTTAACATTTCCGTAAATTGTCATAATATTGATTATAATTTATTGAAAGTCATATTCATATCATTAGATAATTGGACCGTATTTGTTTCAATAAAATCAATTCACTCGCTTTATATAGCACCAGGCTTTCCTGCGGCATTACTCGTGTAGATTATTTATGGAGTCGGCTCAATAAAATTGTTACGTTTTACGTTTGTAGTTCAGAATTGTTTGGTTTATTGTGGTTAGAACAAAGCGCAGTGTTGGATAACATGATCCAACACGTGATGAATTTATTTTGGTTCTACTGAAAAGATCTTGTGATGCAATGCCATGTCTATGGAAGGAAATGAGACTGAGTGACGGATTGGCGTGATTTTTGGTGTGGAGATAGTTGGAGAGCTGGAAAGTGACATGGGCTACTTTTTATCGCGGGAGATCATCTTATTCCCACGGAAAAATACGTTATAATACAACCTAAAAAATATTTATGAACAGAATTACTTGAAACTTGGTGTTAATGCTCTTCAATATAATTAAGTAAATATGTGTTTTAGCATTTTTCAAAATTCATCCCATAAGAGGGTTAAATAGGGGATGAAAATTTGTACGAAACCTACCTTTTTAGTCTTTTATAGTTTTAGCGAGTGAAGCTGCGGGTCCTGCTAGTATTATATATGTACGTATATACTCGTACATAGGTATGATGAGTTGTTGTGAGTGTGTAGTATGGATATAATATATTATGTTATATTCTGCGATTATTTATAAAATCTCTGTCTATCTTTGCTTGATTGTGCGTGAGATGCAGTCATAAAAGGGAAAGTATTTTAAATAAGAAAATAACGTGCGTAACTATTATTAGCGTTATATGACCATGAGATTTGTGCACATATATGGCGCGATATGTTTCGAATGGTTAGTTTAAATATTTAGCTTCATTCTCCTCTATCTATAATCTATACAAATAAAAAAGGAACGCTTATCGTTGGTACATGTATCACTTGAGAATGGCAATCCGATTTAGTTAAGTTTTTTCCTTAAATTCTTTATAGTAGTCCGTATAGGGTTATTAAGGAAACAAAATTGTAGAAGTTGCCTGTAAAAAGGGCGAAATTCGGGAAAAACTGTTAGTGCTATGAAAATTTTGAATGATATCGTAAGTCACGAACAAAATTATAATTTAGACAGTACGTCTGTCGGTTTAGGATTTAGGGTGTCGGTTAGAATACCTTGTTCTATATGCCTAAATGAAGTTTAGGTTACAAACCTAACCTAACATTTAATTGATAAATATGTATTGTTCAAGCATCGTGTACCTAACGTTTACATTGGTGCAATGATCGGAAAGTGGGTTATCTTTATATAAGTATCATATGTATATAATTGTTTTTCTAATAATTTACTAACTTGTTTTTATAATAGAGCATTAATTTTGTATTATGATATAATAATTATTCATTTATTAAATAGGCCAATCCCATTTCGTTGGAATATATGCAACATATTTTTTTTTAATTTATACTAGCGTTTGCCTGCGGCTTTGCTCGTGTCAAGTTTGATTTGATTGATAAGTTTTAGTTGCTTTCTGGAATTGGTACATCTGTCTTATATAATTTATCCATACACATTTTAGGTTGAATTTTCAAAAATCTGTTCTCAACGGATGTCTACGTCATAATATTTATCTGTGTGCTAAAGATTTTGATTTGGTTTCTCAAATCTCAATTCAAACATTCGCTTTGTGCGGAATTGAACTCGTTACCTCCGACTTAGTTTAACAAAGATATTCGAACATACAGTACCTAAATATTTTCTATCAATCAATTTTCTTTTTAGTGTATATGTATTTATTAAAGTTATGAATTTATTATTACAAGTCGTGTAGTTCTTCATCGTGATATTGGAATAAATTTTATATAACTGTTTGTGTAATTTATTTATAACTAGCGATATATCCTATAGCTTGCATGGCTTAGGAAGGCTTCAAAGACAAACGTCTAAAGAATTTTTTTTTGCGCCCGTAACCTTCGCAGGTGCATACAGAATAACCCACCTGAGTTTCATCACAATCGGATCAATGGTTTAGGAACGCATAGAGAACAAATATACGAATATATATATATATATATATATATATATATATATATATATATATATATATATAAAAAATACGATATTCATAATGTGCTCATTAGGTATTTCAAGTATTGTGAGTTTTAATTTTAGATTATAAATGTTATTATTTAACTCTTTTTAACAGTAATGCTTAGAGATTGAATTTTAAAACAAGTTTATCTCAATCTTTACATAGTAATCAGTAACAGAGCAGATTATATAAAACAACTAGCAGAACCCGCGGCTTCCCTCGCGTTTAAAGTATAAAAAAAATAAACTCTTCTTTCCTTTCCCTTTACAATAATGTATAGAAGTCTGTCCGATTTGCTGACATTTATGAGAACTGCTCCGCCGGGCTATCTAATGCAAAGTTTTTTTATTGGATTAGTAGTTCATGAGATTAGCGCGATCAAACAAACAAACTGCCTCTTTATAATATTAGTATAGATAATATTTTTTACTGTAATATTATATTTTTCCTTATATTATTTACAGGGCTTCATTCCGGGCATGTTCGGCGTCTCGCACGGCGCTCTGCAGTTCATGACATATGAAGAAATGAAGAATAGGTATAACCAGTATAGAAACTTGCCCATTGATATTAAATTGGTATGTAAATACATATATTATATTATAGAGAGTATAAAAATATATTATTTTTTTAGCGCGTTCAAAACATGTGTCGCATCTGCTTTTGCTCTTAATATTATATTATTTTTTAGTACATATAATTATTTTAAAAATTATTTAAAGTCTATTATCTGAGCATAAATTATAATGAATTTTATAAAAATGAAAGCGTGCCTAATTGTTACGATATATTTTACTAAAATATGCTCCAAAATATGTCATTGAATATCAGGCAAATGAATATATAAAAAATTGTGAATCTTTTGTTTTCTATCTTCAAGTTTTGAAAGTTATTTAAATTCAAATTTAAAATCCTGTCCCTAAGTACGTTTTAATTTTTTTGACCGGAAACCTAATAACATCAGCTATCTGCCAGTGAAAGTCCCGTCAAAATCAGTGCAGCCGTTTCGGAGATTAGCCGAAACAAAAAGACATAGACCAAAATGTTAAAAATTGTGTTTATCTTATAAGTATCATATATAATTGCATATGCATTTAGTAACAAACTTTGACATTACAAACAGACACTTCAATTTTATTTATCTGTATATATAACGTAATCCACTCTCATTTCAGACATCAGTCGAGTACCTAACGTTCGCAGCTGTATCGAAGCTCATAGCGGCGGGTGCGACCTACCCTTACCAAGTGGTCCGCGCTCGCCTACAGGACCAACACCGCCAGTACACGGGCGCATGGCACTGCGTCACTGAGACATGGAGGTACGAAAGAATACGCGGCTTCTATAAGGGCCTAACGCCGTATCTCCTACATGTAACCCCAAATATATGCCTCGTCATGCTCATATGGGAGAAATTCACTAATAACGACTCTATATAATTCTATCTGATGGGAAACGTACTGTGTTATTGTTATTTTAAAACACCCTTTATGAACGCCTGGTACTTTTGATTTCTCGTATGTATAACTGATGGGTGTTATATTATGTATTTTCGTGTTAACTCCTGCACAGTTATGAACGCCTGGTACTTTTTGTCTGGCATATTTGTACATGACTGATGGGAATTTTACTTATTTACTATAATTACAGCTGTTTTGTTGTTATGCTAGTTTATATCAATCTCACACGCGGTTATGGGCGCCTGGTACATAACAATGTTTGTAACGTCAGTTTAGACTTTTTTTAATGTATCTCGTCTTATGAAATTATTATAGCTCCGAATCGACTGTTTTTTTTAAATTGTTTTTCTATGCCTGCTGCCGCATTGCGTAAAAAAAAATTACGCGTCTTCACAAATCCTACTTCACAAATTGGGGCATATTTTTTTTAATCTATACGAATTAATTTTAAAGTTTTGACATTGACAGCTGTCATCGATCGGACAGGGTTTTAGAGGTGTCTATGAAAGGTAAGGATAAAGGAGTGAGATTTTGGCGGGAATTTTAATTTAGAATTTAAACGTGCATTTTCCATTGTGAAACCTTTTCGACGTATTATAATCATGTTATAGAAAAATAAATGTAATTGTATTATAATTCATATCCATGTTCATGTTAAGTTGTGTCAGTTTTATAGGTTGTATGATTATTTTTAATAAATTATTATAAGTTAAATTGTAGCAATGTATCATGTAATTTATTATTTTATCTATAAAAATCGTACACAAATTGTTTTGGGCCCAGGTTTTGTCTCTTTTTTGATTATATGTTACATTTTTGTAACGAAAAGAGATAAAATGTAGGTTTGAATTGACTTAACGGCTTAAATTTTTAATTATATATGTGGAAAAGTAGCTTGTTTTATCTATGTAATAATTTTATATTATATACTGTTGGCTTAGTAACAAAAAAAGGAGTATAATTTTTATTTTTATTAATTTTAATTTGTAAGTGAAATATGACAATTTTAATATTAAAATATCAAATAAGTCAACAGTATGTAGCCTGTCTCACGACATATGTTGTGTTATTGTTTGATTTGTAGTAATGTTTTTTGCCGCCGTATATGTAATCTTCTGTAAATAGTATCAGTACAATTTCCCATCAGATCGTGGTATTGTTATTTTTTATACTGGTAATATAGTGTTGCAAAATATAGATTAAAAATTATTTTTGTGATAATAGATAGTACTTAGAATGTCTTAAAAAGATTTTCCCATAAATTGATGTAAAAGACATTTTTTTTCTTTTACATAACCGTTACATGTGTGGTGAGACGACGTTAGGTTCTTTATATTTACATAAGAATTGAAGAATTGTTTCAACTTGTTTAGTAAAATAATAATCAAATTTAAAATTAATCTAATAAAATACTTAAAAAACATCACTTTTATACAATTATGCTTTAGCAAGTTTGAAGCTCTTCTATCATTGAGGCTTTGTTTAGATGTAGCCCCGCCTATTACTATGTAATTTTATCCACAATTCAATCCTACAGCTCATGTTAGTTCAAATTAGTAAATTTTCTTATAGATCGACATACGTATAGAATAAACAAATATAAAAATTAGTTTAATAATAATACAATATGTGATTGAGGATACATGTTAGCAAAAAAAAAAAAAATATCTGTAAGTAAAAAAACAGTATTCAATATAGTTGGTACAAAATGTAATGAATTAATTTGAACTTAAAATTACTTTAATATTAATATATAAATGAAAAAAAAAACAAAAAAAATATAAAAAATAAAAGGACATGCAAAAATGAAAATTTGACATAGAAATGAACAACTCAAATTTAATTTGAGTCATTTTTGCTGACATGTACAATATAATATGGTATTGTTACAATCAAATGTAATGTTGATATGACGGCGTATTGTTAGTTTCCTTTTGCTTATTCTTAGTGTTTCTCATTCGGTGGCTGGCCACATTAATCAGTGAGAATTTAAATATATTTTTAATATATTAAATTAATGAAGACATGTTTCAATTAGCCATTTCAATTTGTGTGATCAATAAATGATAGCAAATTGATAATCGCCATGTTGTTTTTTTTACTGTCACTGTCATATATTTTTTTTATGGCATCACTAAAATTATTAGGGAAATTTACTAATGACAATTTTCATATATTTTTTAATAAATTCTGTCTTAAATCAACGTGGTTTCTGAGCAAGGTAAGAATAATCTTTTATTATTATTATTATTTTTCTTACTTTCAATTATTTTTAAACTTTTTACAGGCACGAAGGCTGGCAAGGTTTCTACAAAGGGCTCAAACCAAACTTAATTCGTGTGGTGCCAGCTACGATGATCACTTTCTTAACATATGAAAAAATATCGTATTTTATGTTAAACCGCAACAAGGAAATTAAATTGCCAAGTTAAAATATTAGAACAAAAGCATTTTTAGTGAAATTTTTCGCTTTTAATATCTCTACAGCGCTTACAAAGTGATTTTGTCTTATCCATTCCTGTGTATTTTTTTTGGTTAAATTTTAATTATTTTGCTAAATTTTTTTTCACTAAATGTCTATCTTTGTTTCTTCTTATTCCAATTACAACTAATTTTTTAAGTGCTAAATTTCCTTTGTTTCTTTTATCTAGGTTAGGTATAGACTAGAAATACTAGGCACATCTCGAACCAAAAACTAAATAATTTACTAATTTTAACTTTACAGACATAAAAATATTAAAATATCTGAGTGCATGTTAATAATTGCATTCATTAAAATGATCATTATAGCTATTGGATTTTTGAAGTGAAACTTCTTTGTGCGCTTTCATGAGAGAATAGAATTTCAAGGCCGCGTCACGAAAAACCGTCATGGTTGCCATAGTAACCGTTGTTATTGTCTGAAAGATGATATTATATAATATGATATTTTGCCGTTGCTATCTTCAAAGATCATCATCCTCGCTCATCCTCGCTTCGCTCGGGTTCGTATCTTGGAGTATATGCGATAGATGTAAGAATCCAGCTAGATAGAAAGAGATAAAATATTATTCTCTCCTCTTTGTGTGATACTCGATTGAATCATATTTTTGTCAGAGTGTAATATTAGAAGTTTTAATTAATTAATTTATCTTATAGATTGAAAATATAAATAACCAATGAAGTTTCACTTCTAACACGTTTCCATAGAAACTTGTTTTTTTTAAATTATATACTTAAAATATTCTGTAGAAGTTGCCATGATAGTCGCCATATTTAATTTTATTCGAATTATTACACTACATCACAAATACAATAATTATTTATTATTGTGGCACAATTTATTTTTTTTTAAAATTAATTACGATTTTTGTCATAAAGGCTGTGTTTTTGTCCCTCGGAAAAATACAAATGGCGTATGTTCAAATAATTACAATAAATATATTGACAATAAATGTAAATTAAATTAAAATATAAACAGATTTTGATATTTTAATTTAATTTACCTTTATTGTCTCCATATTGTAATAACGATATTTCACTTTCGGTATGATAATGGTTTAAGATTGTTATAGACAATTTGTTTTTTTTTTTAATAAACCGAGACTGATGAAATACTTTTCGCGACAATCGCACTTTTTATGGAAGTTTTCATTAAGTTTTTGTTGTGTATGTCTCGGAGTAAGTTAGGTATACATAGTTAATGAAAAGCATTTTAAAATTATCTTAGAATAATGCTTCAAAAGCAACCGTAAATAATTATCTATTAATAAATATTATAATATTTTAGAATAGTAAAGTACTTAGTTGCTTTCTTGGTTTACGATTTATTTGTGGATGTTCAGATGCCGAATTATTATGAAGTGATCGCTTCTTGACCTGGTTTGTGTTTTTAAATTTAGTTTTTATTATGGTTTCATTAAATCTTTTAATTAAACTTGACTGTGGCATTTTATTACCCGACTGCGGCGAAGCTCAAAGGAGGGTTATGTGTTTGACCTGTACATGTGTATGTATGTATGTATGTTAGATCCCATGTTTCTTCATAATTACTAAAAGACTTGACCGATTTTAATGATTCATACGTAATAGGCTATATAGAAATAATTAAAAATAAAAATGGCGGATTTAAAAAAAACTTCTAAGTTCAAAATGTAGGTTTTAAGAGATGATAACAAAAATGTATACAATGTATGTTTAATTTGGGATAAGAAATAGCTTAATAAAACTCAAAATGTTCAGTTGGCCAAAACTAAAAGATGAAGAAAAAGAGGAAAGGTAAAAGCGAACTAAAACAAGAAAACAAGTTGACGAAGGAACATAGTATTATGCAGTCAGAGACAGATTATTATATGTACTAAATAAAAGATTCATGATTATTTGTGAAAATGATGGACATCCATATCTATTATCTATACAGATAATAAAATTGAAGTGTCTGTTTGTAATGTGAAAATAACAGCTTTTCAACCGACTTCATTACTTAATGCGTATGAAAATTTATATAGTACATATAAAAACACACTTTTTAAAATCTTTGTCTGTGTTGCGGCTAATCTCAGAAACCACTAGACTGATTTTGTAGGGACTTTCACTGACAGATAGTTGATGTTGTAAGGAGTAACTTAGGTTACTTTTATTTTAGGAAAAAAATTAATTCTTTTTATAATAACCCTAATAGGGTTCCGCTCAAAAAAATTATCGTCGATTCAGGCGCACAATCTTTTTACAGCATTCATGTATTTTACGGGAACTGATGTACTGGAATAAAAGTGGGCTATGTTACTGCATTAAGCTCTAGCTATCCATTTTTAACTTCAAAAATACGTAAAACGTAACTAGGGACGCACCCGAGCGAAGAGAAGTTAAAAGTCTCTAGTAGGTATATATTAAAATAGGAACTAAACGAAATTTGTACATATATATTTTTTTAAATGACTTACGTATTGTGTCCAGAATAAATACCCAAAACAATAGTTATTAAAATTTGTCTGTATATATTACGTATATTTCACGCAAGAAAATTGAACGGATTTTAACAAATTTTGTGGTAATCTCTGGTCAACATTTAGAATTTTGCTACGGGAAAATCATTCATTCCCACGGGATAATCATTCCTTCCCACGGGATAACAACTATTTCTCTCGAGTCGTCCTTAGCTTACATGGCTAACGTCGACTAAACCAGAGATGTACATGAAAATGATGTACGATAAAATTTAAGGTCTTAAGGGCCTACAGAAAAGTCCGCAATAGCATACGTTTGCGAATAAAACGCATTTTACATTATTTATTTTATTATGCATGTGTTCCTACAAAATATTTTCATTGTGTGCATGTATTTTAAAGTTAATATTTACTCACACTCGTATCGGTGTAGGTCACCATACACAAAAATATATTACTCAGAATTTATAATTTTAAGGTGATATACTCGTTGTAGGTAGGTATATTATCTAGATATTGCTCAGTTATTTTTCTTTCAATTATAATAAATAAAAATTTGAATATGTTTCTTGCGTAGCAGCTACTTTAAAGGGCATAATAAACATTTCTTATCGAATTAAGTATTTAAATTATTGCAGACTTTAATTCTGTTTTTAAGATTGGCTAATTTGAATAATAAAATATCTTGTAACTTTTTTAGCAAATTGGACATGACAGTACCTATTATATATATCGTGAATATTTAAATGTTGGGAAACACCGTTCTTTAATAAGCGTATCGCTTGAGAATGGCTAAATCGATTTGGCCATTTATTTTTATATTTTGTAATATACAGTAATTAATACGTTTTTTAAGGTAAAACAACTGGAAAAATTGTTCGGAAAATAGGAAAATTCGGAAAAAAACTAAAATAATATTTTTGTAGAGGTAAACTTAAAGATCATAAGCAAATTAAAGACGGATGGATTTATGTATATGTGACAGCTTTGCACAATTTTATTAAATACTAGCGGCTCACCCTCCCTACGCTCGGGTTCGTCGCTAGGTACGTTTTAGATAGATGTAAATAGTTGTTAGCCAGCGTTAGCCATATAAATTTTTTTTTGTTAATACTATACAGGATCATTTTTAATTTACTGAAAACCTTTTGGGAATACACTATTTACAACATAACAACAACATGTGTAAGAAAAAAAATATAATATATCTTAAATTTAACAAAAAATAAAAATATTTTTATTGCATCTTTTCAACGGTAATAGTCCAGCATTAGCAAAAGAAAGTGCTTGTCCGGTGGAGGGGTGTAGGAAGCCGCGCTTACTCATTTAAACCTGGCCAGATGCTCTAGAACTTAGTTTAGAAGGTGCAAAAAAATATTTTTATTTTTGTATGAAAAATTTTTTTAAGAAATATTATTTTTTCTGGTCACAGATGTTGTTGTTATGATGTAAATACTATACCTATTCCCAAAAGGTTTTCAGTAAATTAAAAATGACCCTGTATATACTATATATACTAACGTCACTCAATTGTTTTGCCTTCCCGGAACCTCTTCATTAACACTTAAACTTTATGTTTTGGGATTAAAGTTCAAATTGACTTTTAAGTATTATTATGAATCTTTTGTATGGCAGTATAGAAAAGTGTTGTTTTTAGACTTTTCAGGCAATTTTTTAAATTTTTCTCTCCGCAAGAACCATCCTCGTACTTCAAGGAATATTCTAAAAAAAAGAATTAGTGAAATCGGTTCAGCTGTTCTCGAGATTTGCGCTTAGCAACACATTCAGCAATTCATTTTTATATTATAGAAGATTTTTCACGATAGTAATAAATAATTGGAAGGTAGTTTAATATTTATTCTTAAACGGTACTCGTAACAACGTGAAGTAATGTAAGTCGATGTGAATATGTACATTTTTTGATAATATGTGATGTACGTATATAAGATAAATTGTCTCAAAAGTGATAAGTGACAATATTGAAGGATATATTAATTTATAGCGATTTTCTAATAAACATAGGTAAGTGACATCAAACCCTTACAAAGACATGAATTGATCTCATAATTATGAGAACAACACCCCAGAGTTTAATCTCTATTTGTTTTAAGTGGATACTTTCATTATATCATTATTTACTTTTATGGCCTTAATTTTTTTTATATATATTTACAATATTATCCATTGTTTTCAACGGGGGCCCGTTATATCTTAGAGTTTGGGTTATATAATTTAGATCCACCTCTGTTTATTGGTCGGAGTATGCCATGGGAATTTTCAATGATAATTAAGTCATTTACCGAGGGTTAATCAACTGTTTGTATCTCCAGTCTTAATCCATATGTGTAACTATTTTTTAGAGTCTAGTTCTATCTAACATCACGCTATCACTTTAACGAGCGGATCTCAGAGCCGCGGGCAAAACCTTATTATAAAGTTGTTCTCTGATGATGAATATAAATTAGAGCCGACAGAACGACTAACAAGTTATAACGACTAAGAAG